TAGTATGAAAATACCTACCGTAACCTGCAAAATCACAAGATTGCCAATACAGCACAATAGTTTATATATAAGTGCATGACGTCAGTATTCGTATACTTCCGCATAAGTAAACATATCAAACCAAGTGCTTATCAACACATGCTAACACACGAGTTCATGCAAAACTATTCTGACATGAACATGACTAGGTGTAATAATGATATACGCTCTAGTGCTACAATCATGTGAAGACTGGTGTTATTCGCGGTCACATATGAGTCGGAGTTGCCTATTGCAACCTGTACGTAGGACTGGCACCTACTTAGATCCAAGGCAAGCATGCGGTGTGGATGTGAACATACACTTGAAAGACTGGCCCTGGCCCTGGCCTTGGGCGAGCACTAACACCAGGTGCAGCAATGTATGATGAGCAAATAACATAACTATAATCATGCCACAACCATTCAACAATTCTAGCCAATATTATACTATTCGTGACATAAATATAATTAAGGCATCCCTTTATAGTAAGCTTACATGCGCATCTCGTAGGATTATTTCATCATTTCCCAACAATAAGGTATTTCTTACGAATGTTAATTTAATTATGGCAATCACGTAGGAAATTCGTTAATGAATGTATATATAGAAAATAACCAATATATATATATATATATCAAAAGAAAGACCCACTCACAGATCATGTCGTCGAGTTGAAACCGCATCGTAGCATTGAGAATCCTTGCAAAGCATTTCGCCTAGAAACGAAACCCTTTAGGTAATATAACGTACTAATGTAATTACGCGTTTTCGTACAAAGTACGGCTAACAAATGAACTATCTTAAAACAGTCGAATTTCATAAAACAGACGGCGGATTTGAAATCGGGAAGTCGAAATACGCTAAGGAGGGTCCCCGACAAATTTTGTAAAAAGTTAACGGAACAATCAACGGTTAATCCTAAAAGTCAACTGAGATGTCCCGAGTTCGTTTTTGTCATCCATTTAGTGAAATTATAAAGTTTTAACGTAGTTGACCTGACAACCCGTCCCTAATTTTACGACTTTATAAATTTTAAAATAGCGAATTGACGAAAATATCCTTAGAGGCGAGATCGTTGACTTTCATTAACCGTCTTTTCGTGACCTGTATAAGCTACTATTTTAGCATATTCTCGAAGTACTTGGCAATACGAACGCGTAGGCGCAAGCGGGATCAAATTTGGAGTTACGACTAAGATTTTACGGAACTACGAAACTCGAGGATGTTTTGTGAAATTTGAATTTTCGGTATTTTAATATTTTAATACTTTATGAGTGGATATTTTGAATATTGTATAATTTTTCTGGTCCGTGGGACCCACACCCACACAAGTTCTCCACCCATTTTGCGCCACGTGTCCTTTCTCCCTCTCTTTTTCACTCTCCAGATCTCATCACTCAAACTCTCTCTTTCTCTCATCGCCTCCTGTTCTCACTCTCTCTAACTCTCCCTCTCTCTATTGCCGTGAGATTGCAACCATCTGCGCCGAGGCCAGCGACCACCTAACCCCACCAGCTCTCCCTCTTCTCTTCATCTCAAACCTCAAGACCTTCTCTATTCTCCCTACGTTTACTGCACAGATGCAATCGAACCATCCACCACCAGTGTTGACGAGATGTCGCAAATTTTGGGTGAAAGTGAGTCGGAAAAATACCTTGGGATGAATATCTCTAATTGCTTAGTGTAAATCTAAGTGTGGTAATTGATTTTGGGTAGGTTTTTGTAACATAAATAATTCGGGAAAACTATTTCCCAATTTCCGACGGACCCTTATCTTGCAGGCCTTTTTCCGACCACTTTCCGTCCACAGCTGAGAACCAAAATGGTATCATTCAAATCCCTACCATCTTATCTTCATTTTGGTTCAATTTTGGAATGAAATGGGTTCATTCCTGCACACAGCGCACTCTTATATTTAGGTATTTTAAGTTTAAATTTATCCACATATTCCACCACACTACAGTTTATGACTTCGTCATCTTCGAGGTGTCGACCAGCACAGCTCGATTCAGAGTTCAAGTGGATATTCCCGGTCGAGGTGTGTCAAACAGAAAAAAATTGAAATCTAAACTATAAGATAAAAAATGAAAATGGTTGGATTAGTAACTTGTAAATATTAGGCAATGCGATTTCAAATTTGGTAGGAGATTGGTATGTGATTTTGAAAAAAAAAAAAAAAAAAAAAATCATTTCTTCCCTTTGATGCAAAGATGATGTGAAACCTTGTGTCAAAACTATTGCAAATAAATAAGATCAAATTTTCTGCATCCAAAACGCATGTGGCATCTCTATGGCCTCAATCATTGACTGACACGTATTTAAAACTTTAATTTTTCTAAACTTTGTTGTCATATATTTAATATATGTCAAATAATTACTAGGGCCACAGAAAGACTACACCTATGTGCAGAATATTTGATTTCGAAATAAATGGCTTAGTTTTTTGCAGTAGACTTCAAGTGTTTGTACAATGTCTATAACAATGTAACTAACTATAGAAAATTGTGCAGGATATTCAAGGAGTATGATTATCTCCCATCCAAATTCTCTCACATTCCCTCCTTTCCTCTCATACTTTATTTTTGTCGTTCTCTCTTTATAATTAGGTTAACACAAGATGCTAACGTAGCTTATTTGTGACCGTTCAAATAGGAGGGAAAAAAGAAGAAGATAGAGATTTGGAGGGAAGAGAATCCAATCCCAATATTCAGACTCTAGTTCTTGACTACCCTTATGGGCAATTACTTCTCCAAATAATTGTATTTGAACCACAATTGGAACATTTTTGCTCACCATTGTATATACCTAATCATCTGTCATGTGCTCTTTATCTTAATCTTGGCTAATTTTTTTCAAAAATGAAAAAGTAACATTTAATATAAAAGTTAAGTAAAACTAAATGAAAAAATACATAACAAATAATTAAATGTATGGTGAATACACATACGTAACAAATAATTAGATGTTATGAGTACATACTACAAATTATAATTATGATGGTGAGTAAAATTGCTCCCACCATAATTTCTAGTAAATTGCAAGTAATTGTCTAGGAAAAAAAAGTAAAAAGAAAAATGAAATAGCTATGGTTGGTTCGTGACACAGTGCTAGTCACATCAGGACAGGTACCCTATACGTGATGAGGGTCTCTATTCCCATTCCCACTCACATAAACCGCGGAAATTACACGTCATTGGATTAAGTACGCGGAATGGAGTTTGCCTTGTTTATTTCATTAATCCATAAATAAACGTGATTAGCCGAACTCCCTAAAATATTGATATATTCAAAAAATAAAAAATAAATTGATTAACAAATAAACTAATAGTCTTAATGCCAAAATGAATGAGTCATGACGGCACATAGCAAACATAACACTGTTTTTGTACTGGATTGGTTTTAGGAGATCAGTCAAATCATACCAACAACAACGCACACACATTACGTTAGGTGTTTGACATACGTACGGAATTAAATAAAATTACGAGAAATCACTCATATATAAAATTACATACGCATTCAATTAAGAAGTTGATCGAACAATAATTTGACAACAAAACATTTATATTATGCAGGATTTTTTAAGCACATCTTGAAAGTTTAGTGGACTAAATGTTTAACATAGTTAGGGTCAATGGCGAAGCTATGTGAGGGTGAGGAGTGGCGACCGCCCCTTCCCTAGTCGGAAAATACGTTTAGGAGCGCTGGTTCAACCCCTCCGCTCTCGTCGGAATTCATGGCACCTATAAAAATTGGTTTTAGCCCGTGCACTGTCTTGGTCGAATTTGCAGAGGAAGGGCAATAGTTTGGTTGAATTTGCAGAGGAATAATGAAGACAAAGGGGAGAGGTTGGAAGGATGGGGACCCCCCAATTATCTGGGCAGGTTCTACTGGCTGGGTTTAGATGCACAGTCGATGACGAGTGGCTTCAGCTCGCGAAGAAGAAGAAGAGTTTTGCTTTCTCTTTTTCTCTTTTGGGGAAGGGTTGCATGGTTGTTTGTTTTCCTTTTTCACTTCTAAAACCCCACAAACTCGTCCCACCCACATGTCTATTATATATAAAACTAGTGCCCTAATAATTTTATTTTATCCTAAAACCAAAGAAACTTGTATTAATTATAAACGTAGCTGTTATTATATTAAAAACAAAAAATTGTTTGATAATTATTTTGTTTTCATTTTTTTTGTGTTACTTTTTTGAAAACTAAATTTGTTGTACTTTTTGCTCACATTGACTTTGATATTATTGCTTACAACCGCTTTGGTGAATAAACTATTTTCTACTATGAATATTGACTCAAAACTTTGCATTCTCTAATGTGAAAACAACTGCTTCGATTGAACATTACACTCTTTTGAATTTCATCCCTTTCCTCGACAAATCATGGTTTCGCCACTGGTTAGGGTAATATATCAAGTTTATGAGTTAATTATATTAATATTATATTCAAATTTTCTCGTCAATTGTAAAATTATAATTTCTGAGCTTAATACATTAATATCACATTCACTCATTCTACCATAATCGAAAGGCCTCAAATTGGTTCTTTGCAAAAACAAAGACAAAAATCCAACTCCACAAAATTTCTCACTTGTATTTGATGGAATTAGATCCTCTTCGGATCCTTTTATTGGGGATTTCGGGTATCAATTAATAACAACCGTTCATCAACGATCGTGAAACTATAATTTTTTTTTTTTATATTTTTCATGCAAAACAAACTTGCTTTACTTTTAAAAAATATAAAAAAACATTCAATTATAACCGTACGATCTTTAACGAACGATTGGCATTAATTGATTATCTGGATCACCAATGAGTAGATCAGAAGAGAATCTAATTCCGTATTTGATTGCTACTCTCTCTCTCCATCGCTCCTCGAGCTGCCTCACCCTTCTTGTTTGTCTTTCTTTTCTTTCGGTTACCCTTCTATTATTTTATGTTCTGCCTTTCGGTTACTCTTCTTAACCATTCGTGAACTTAAATAAATACCCCCACTAATCCACTTCACACACTTCCTCCAAATAACAACACCCATCTCTCTGTCTCTCTCTGTCTCTTCCAACCCATTGTTTGCCATTTTTGTAACCCCCTTAAGAAAAAACCAAGAAACCCCCCTTCCCTTCTCCCCCCAACAATCAAATAAAGCAAGAAACCCCTCCAAGAAAAGCCCCATAACCCTTCGAAAATAACCAAAAACCTCCACAACAACTTCCACCCCACCGCAATACTCGTTTCCCAAACTCCTCCACCTCCATCCGTTTTTTGGCCCTCCTGATATCACCTATACAGCTCCCCACACACATCATCTTTGCCGTCTCACTCCTCCCCGCACTGCCACCCCATTTCCCACAACCTCCCCCCTCCCATGGAGTCCCCGCTCGTAGTATTCTTATTACTCAATCTTTGAACCTTTTGCATGCGACAAGGGTCGCCGGTGATCCTCGAGCAAGGAATTTTATTTCTCCTTATCAGATTTCTTCTTCTTCCTTGTCTGAGGATCCAAGACCCTTGCTTTTTCTTTCTTTTCTTTTTTCCCGGCAAAACCAAACACCAAAAAATCATTCCCTTTCTTCCCATTTCTCCTGAGAATCTGATTATGCAAAATTCTTGAGATTCCCGCATCGGAATTCGAAATTAAATTCTGGGTTTTGCCAGAAATCGTTCAATCTGAAAAACCCAGATAAGAATTTTCTCCATTTTCCGTTATCTATTTTCCCAATTTTTTTAAAAATTTGAATTATGTCAGCATCGATAACCTCATCGCGGCAGCTATTTCTCCGGCAGACTTCGTCCCCGCGCCGGCAACCGCTGCTCCGGACCCAAGTCTCAACCAGCAGCGCCCGATTGGCTGAAGTCGCAGGCGGCACAGCCGCCGATTGCGCCGCCGTGTGCTGTTGCTGCCCGTGCGGCCTCGCCAACCTCCTAGTCCTCGTGATCTATAAGGTCCCGGCGGGGCTCTGCCGCCGCGTTCTGAAGAAGAGGCGCCGCCAGAGGCTCATCAAGAAGGGGCTGCAACATCGCAAGTGCAGTTGCGGATTCGCCGGCTCGGAGCTCCAGTTTGACACGGTGGGTTTGGAGTGCGTGGCGGGGATCAACGACATGTCGCAGAAGATTTCCGACGACGAGTCGTATGATGAGGATGTGATGCAGCTCGAGAAGGAGATGTGGGACCGGTTTTACAGTACGGGGTTTTGGCGAAGCCCATCCCAGAGGGAACCGTCCAAGGTCTCACTGGTAAATAATTAAATCAAAATATTTAACGACCAGTCAAATGACCAGAATACCCCCCAAAATAAAATTTACTGAGATTATTTGGGTTTCGTCTGTGTTTTTGATTGGTTGGCTGCTGGGTGGTGCCTTATGTCTACTTGGTTTTGGGTTTGCCAAAGTTGAGGGGCTTTTTTTTTTATTCTTCTAATTTAATTTAATTTAATGTGGTTAAATCTATGTATATATGGGGATGTGGAAAATGCGGTATTCTGCTGTGTGACCGATAATTTATTCATATGATGTGAAAGATAAAAATGATGTAAATCACCGTGTGACCGGTAATTTATTCGTCATGTGATGTGAAAGATAAAAATGATGTAAATCACCGAAATTTGGTTTTTCAGGGTGGTGGTTTTGTAAGAGATTGTTTGATTGTCATGTTGTTTGACTTTGGGGTTAAATGTGGATCTTGTGCACATTTAAAAAAAAAAAAAAAAAGAATGTTGAAGGTTTCAAAGATTAATGGAATTAATACACTGCGGGCGTATTTTTGCTTTATTTTTTATTGGTTTTATATAATTCGTAACATATCTTCTAGATTAAATTCAAATTGTCTCAGCAAAGAAAACAAAAAAGACCATGTTGGATCTACAAAATTGGTCTTTGGGAGGTTCTAGATAATTATTTGGAACCATATTTTGGTCTTTGGGATGGTTCCAGATAATTCTTTGGAACCATGTTTTTGAGGTTTTTTTTTTGCTGACTTTTTCTGTGGGGGTTAAGGGGGAAGGTGGTATCTTTGAGGGAGAAGGAATGTTCGTATTTGTATGTTTTACTAACACAAGTGATGTTTTACTAACACAAAAAGTATAAATATGACCATTGTTAAATTAGCTAACAATTTATACAATGTTCATAGTCATAAATATCTTAACCGAGATTATATAAAGGCAAGGGTCAGTGGTGAAGCCACAGATGCGCAAGGAGGTGCACCCGCATCTCTGGTCAACGGAAATCAAGCCTAAGAACGAGAATGTGGGTATTGTCAATCCGGAAGTGCTATTGGAATTCTTCTTCATGTACCGTGAGTAGCAAGAGGATAATGTCCAGAAGATGGGCAAAAGATTGGTTTGTTTTCACAAGATTACTACTGCCTTTGTTGAATAATTTGAGTTTGTTTGAAGAAATAACTCAAGTACTTTAGGGTTCACATGTGCATTGGTTGTCCTTTTTTTGTTTGTCACACAATTTCTAACTTCACTATTGCTTTTACCCTTTTACATTTCGCCCTTCCGCTTCCAACAATTCATGACTTCGCCACAGGTGAGAATAGAAAGTACAAATTGTTTGGAAGATTTACTTATGGATTAATAGTTTTTCTCAAAAGAAGATAGAAACACAAAAACCATTTGATTGCTTGTGTGTAAAGGGTTTCAAGGTGAAGTTTTATTATGTCCTCCTATCACGGTAGGCAATGATCGTAACCCTTAAAATGCTCATTTGGGAGTGGCATAGAGTTGGATGTTGAAAATGAAAACATGGGGAACTTGGTAGGTCCATATGTATGTGGCGTTACTCTTGGCCTTGGATACGCAGATAGATTTTCCTTCTTTTCCATAGATCTTGTTTATCCATTTTTTCTCTGCTTTGTTCAAATTCTATGTTGCTTCACCTTTTGACACAATTTTCTTTGCACACTTTGGTCAAATTCACACTCCCACAAAAGTAAAGGAAATATCTCAGGCTATGTTTAGGTGAGAAATTTTTTAGGTCCTAAAGAATTTGGTTAAGTCGGTAAAAATAGATTGTTAAATATTACATACGAGATATTGAAAATGCGTATGAACATCAAAAAGCATGTGAAAGAGGTTCGCAATCTCTCGTCTTTACGCTCATACAATGCATTTCAAATAATCCTTGACATTTTGTAATCAATCTCTGACTAACTTGACATCAATCCTTTGCAGGTTGAAGCTTCCTCACTCCAAACATAACCTCACAGTCACAACACGCTCCCTCTTGAACTTTTTCTTTAATAACGGATTTGAAACGTCTTCAACCATTAAAAATAATAATAAAATAATGGTAGATAAAAAACTTATAACAATTTAAATACATTTTTGAGTCAACTTGAAAATTATATTTTGGTCTGAATGTAACATTAGTGGGTCATGAGCTAAGCCTACACTAGACCTGTAAACGGGTCGGATTTATTGGGTTTGGGTCGGGTTCAACCCGACCCGTTAAGTTAACGGGTCACCCGAACCCAACCCGTTAAGCTAACGGGTCACCCGAACCCGACCCGTTAAACTAACGGGTCACCCGTTTCACCCGTTAACAATTATTTTTATTTTTATATTTTGCATAAAGTTTATTTTTTGTCATTAAGATTTTACTAAAATTACTAAAATATCCTCAACTAACGGGTGCTAACGGGTGTTAACGGGTCCTAACGGGTCTAACGGGTTGACCCAAAGTGACCCGTTATTTAACGGGTTGTTAACGGGTTCACCCGTTAACGACCCGACCCGTTAAACATCCATCCAAATACAAATATTAACGGGTTGGGTCGGGTCGGGTTAACGGGTTGGGTCCAAAATGCCAGGCCTAGCCTACACGCTTGAAATCTTAATGTCAAAATATCTTTAAAATTCTCTAACCATTATCCTACTGCAATAATTTTTGCTAAGAAGCATGTTTATATAATCAATTTGATCCCCCAATTGGATCGGAGGCAAACGCCTACGAAAAAGATCGCTTAGATTTTAAGAAAGATTTTGTATTAGCTCACGCTAACAGAAAATATGTCATTTCAACAAGAAAAATAACATTAGAGTTCTGACCTCCACAATCTCTAATGCACATACACAAATTTTAATTTTTTAATTTTTTTTAACTAACGTTATTAGGGGGAGTGGTGGGCTTAGTCTCACATTGGCTAATAGTAATGTGGTTTAAATTCGTCTTTGGTGATAATTGAACGTAAAACTTTTCACTTATAAGTGAAGAGAAATATTACTGAACCCGACACTCAAATGATAAAAACTCAACCGGAACTAAAAAGAAGGTATTATGCATGACAAATATTTTTAATCACTTGAACTACGTATTGTTGTATTAAATTAGTATAATTTTGGATGGTAAAATTTACAAGAAACAAATTAATCAATAATAACATAGCCATCATCACCTTTTGAGCGGAGCGTCGGTGAGAATTGTAAACGGTGAATTTTATGGTGAGAGGCATCAGCTTTCGGTCAAAACTGCAGCCATACACTGTCATAGCGACTCGTGAGTTCATGTCAGAATTGCAGGCGTGGGCGTGTAAGCTGTCCCTTTTGTCTCTGTCCCACAAAAGAAGGGCACCCTACAAAAGACGGGTATCCTAATTTACTAATGTGAAAATGTAAAACAAATTCGAGAAAGAGGTTTGACTAGCTTTACAAACTCTTTTGGTTCACGCGAGATTATAAAATCTGGAGCTGCTTTTGGTCTTGGGTGAAATTAAGCAGTGACAATCATACATGCAGGAAACTTTATTAGTGGATAATAGAGAGGATTAGGGCCACTTGCTTCCTAGGACATCTATGTCCTTGTCCTTTATCCTACTGGAATATTCCACAATTTGAAGTTTCGAAGATTTTAGGTGACATGGGACCATATAAAACTTTGCATTCCTGGAGAAATTTTGAGATTAATTTCATGTGTTATAATATTGATATGATGTTTCGATGTATATTAATATACAAGCAATAATGCAAAGAAGAAAATCAAATCCAAGACTTCGGTTGTGCAAGGTGAATGCTTTAACTAAGTGAGCTACAAGCTCCTTTATTAATTTATGGTATATCAATAATAGACGATAAAGTGTTACAGTTTCAACTGAATAATAACAAAATGTGGTGATTTTTTAATAAACTAAAAATTTACTCGCCTTCATGGGTGGTGTTCAAAATACACAAAATAAAAGTGGGAAGCTAGGAATAATTTATTTATTTATTTTTATCCAAATTCAACCCAACCATAATGAAGAAAGTAAAAGTTTCATTACAAAATCAATTAGTAATATGAAGAGTAGTTCAACTGCTTATAAGCATACGTAAACATAAAATTCACTTGCAAACACATATATAGGAGGGTTTTTGAGGGTGCACTTCATATTGGTAGAGATCTTGTATTCATCATGGTCAATGAAAGGAAATTGTGCGAAGTTTTGTTCAATTTTTTCAAACCAAGCTTTACCACTTTTAAAAGTTTTAAAATCAATTCTAAAATGATATCTTTCATTTTCTTTCGTTTTCTTTCGTTTTCTACACTCCAGCTTCCAAAATTATTTCAAAGATCTAAATGGACCAAATAACGAAGAACTTGTCCCAGCTTTTGCCTTTTTCTCATCACTTAATAGTCATGAGTTGTGACCCCCATAAAAACAGTAACACTTTATAATTAAGAAGACCAAAAATATTATGTTTTAATCCTTCAATCTGTGCGAGCTGTTGGAACCCTTTAATTTATGTTCTTCAAAAGCAAGGGCTTAACTAGAACCTATATTTTCCAGCCATTGTATCGATAAGGTGGAGGGGAAGTTTTCATAAAATACTGTGTAGCTTATTCAAACAATTTTATGCTTATGAATGGAACATTCGTATTGTAAATTATAAAGATCATATCTATAAAGAATCAATTAAAACTAAGATCGTTTAATCAATCAATTGTAAAATATAGATAGACGACTTGTAATGGTTTTATCAATCCATCAATCTATTTTCAGACAGTTCGATGACTAAACGATTTTAGTTTTAATTGAATTTTTGATAGAGATGATTTTCCGAACAGATTTATAAGGAAGCAATATTCATAAGTACACAGTTTTTTAATAGGCCACTAAGTATTTTGAGAAGAGCCAAGTCTTTCTCATCAATGTATGAACAAAGTTAACAACTCCAGCAGCTTGTTCATCCAAAAACACATTTTTTTTCCAATACGAGCGATATTTTTATTATAAACTAGTATAAAGAGAGGGGGAGAGTTTGAACCCCCAAAGTTATTATTCTTGTAAACACCCTCGTTAGTCAATGATTATCCGATCCGACGAAATCCACTATTTAGTATCCAGTTTTTGAAAGCGATATATTTTACGTATAAGTCTAAGTGACAACAGTTATCGAATAAAATTCCACTCTCATAAGACAGATGTATGGTGTAAATATCATTTGCCCCCATCTATCCCATTATTTGGTCATACGCTAGGTAGGAAAAGAATGGTCGAACTGCCATAACCATAAGCAAACTCATTAAATTTGGTAGGGTTTCTGATAGAGATTTCGTTCCCTTGACTGAATTAAGTACATATGGCTTTTGTATTATTATTGGTGGCTAATAGTAGAGGCTACACACTTATCCGTGGCAAAAGATGATTAGCAGTCAATAAGGACGGAGATTGTTTGTTCTTGTTCTTGATCGACAAAATGTCTGGGTCCTCTTTGAAGGGCCTAGCCGCCGAGGAGAGACAAGGACTAGTCTGCCGGGTGACTCGAAAGTGGCAAGCATAAGAGTACTTTGAAACGATGTAAGATGCTCAAACTAAGAAGCTGCACATGAGGCTGTTTTTTCTGCTGGCCAACCCATTATTTTGTTTTTATTTTTATTTTTATTTTATGTTTTTAGGGTACCACATCATTTTTTTGGTTTGTGTTTGTAATTACAGATGATACAACTATCAACAATATAAATTAGGGAAATATAATAAGGTCGCACTATGGTTTAGTGATGATTTTATTCGAGCAAGAAAAAGTTTCAAATTTGACTCATATGGATGAAGATAATGTACGATTGACGTATTATGTCATTTACACTAAATCCTTCTTAAACAAAAATATTGGTATATAAAGTATTTAAAAAAAAGTTTACGATATTAACAATATATTAATACTATTTATATTAACTATAAATTGGTCAATCAAGTGATGTGGTACAATAATGCACTCGAAGTATATAAAATTACAAAATTTGCCACCTCTCTTTTATCATATTTTGAAATAGATCAATACAGATTTATGACACACCCCGACCCCAATCGAGTCAGGCTGGCCGTCACGTGAAGGTGACGTAGCCATGTGCGCTATGCGGAAGTGAATGATATATAAAAATGTGGGTAAACAAAAACCAACTAACTAATTTACACTAGACTAGCATATAAGTACGAGAGAAAGTGTTTAGAGTGTAAATACAAACACAACCAGAGTGTAGGTATCAGAATGCGGTCCAGAAGTCTAATTACTAAATATACAGATCATAAAAGAAACCCTACACTGATGGATGTCTGTCAGAACCGCCGTGGAGTCCTCGTGAGCCACCAGTAAGAACTTCTATCTAGAACCTGAAGGGGCGCAAAACAAAAAGTGTGAGTGGGAAAAAACAAAGCTTTTCAAAACAATTTATCTTTACAAAAGTAATAATCCCTCACCGTAAAACCCGTATGATTTCCAAAAAATTAGTACCACATACATATATAAGAACCCTGCTCGAAAGTAGCAAAAACCTCATGTATGCCATGTTAATCATCTCCACAATGCATAACTAAGCCAAGTGAAATGAATCAATATAAAATGACATATCAGCCGGAGTCACCTAACGTGACCTGTACAACTGAGTCTATAACTCATCAGTCAAGTCCTGCACACTAGTCGGAATCACCTAATGTGGTATGTACGACAGGTTAGGTGTAAATGAATATGCTCAAGTGCTACAATCACGTGAAGGCTGTGCGAAGTATCGCAAGTCACCTACGAATCAGAACCACCTAAGGTGGTCTATACGACAGGCTGGCACCTCCCTTGGATCCAAGGTGAGCGTGTGGTGCAGGAGGTGAACGATCACGTGAAGGCTATGCCCTGGCCTCGAGCGGAGCATTAACACTGGGGTGCAGGACAATGAATTCTACGCATAACCATTCTTCACTAACTACTATGTAATCATACCAATAATATGTACTCATCTGAACTTACCTTGGCCTTTGCAATAGCATGCAATATTATGCAAAGCTATACTAAATCATATGCTAAAATATAAAGCAAATCTGACATGGTATTTTAAAACATAAAAACCATTTAAAACTATTCTGGGAAAGCATAAAGCATATATACGTATATATAGACAATCAAAATCCCACTCACTGGTATGTAGCTGGGTCGTAACCCCCGAGTCTTGCCTAACTGCACTTATCCTTCGGAAACGTCTCACCTATATGTGAAACAACTATTTTAACATCAATTTTAAGTACATAACTAAAACCGTGTAATAATTCCTCATACGTTGTTCAATTTGGGTGTTTGAATATACCATCGTGGCCTACTCAACACCACAAACATCCCCAAATTTTTAGAAAAAAATTTCGATGTCCCACGCGCCGTCACGCGTCGAGCAAGGCACAACCACACACGCCTAGCACGCTGACGGTAACCCTAACGCCGTTATGGAATATTCAGTTAAATAATAGAATATTCCATTAAATATACCTGACGCCATTAATAACATTCTATCAAAGTTGACAGAATATGCTTTGTCTTCTCTGGTGGTTTGCCAGAATCCGCCGCTACGTCGCTGGAAACTGGAAAAACTTTGAATCTCAATATCTCAGTCATTTCAACACTAAATTTCACGAATTTTATATCAAATTGAAGTCCTAACTAGTAGAACACGATCTTACCTATTTGGGATCCTAAATTCGATAAGAAATTATCGGAAAATCCCTCGAAATTCCGGCTAAACTTGCAATCCCACTAAAGAGCTTATTATGGCGTTCGACCTTAACCAAAACTAGTCTAAAATACTAGAGAAGTTGCGTGGATACCTTTTTGAGTCTCAAAACCAAGAAAAACCTCGACGATCACGTTGGGAAAACAGAGTACCCCACCAGAGCTCCTAAGTTCTCGGGTTCCCATGAACTGTTCTTCGTTCCAAAGGTGTCACTATACTCGAGAGACCACGGAAAACATGATGACATGAAGCTCGTGTTCGATCCGTGAAGTTTTGGAGGTGTTAGAGAGTTGGAGGTCTCAGGTGTACGGACGAGAGAATGTTCAAGAAAAAAAGGAGAGGGATAGTGAGGTTGTACATGTGTGGTTGTGTGTATGTTTGTCACGGGATAGGCCAAAATAAAAGGGAAAGGCCTTGATTGGGCCATAGGATTCTAGGGCTAACAATTAGTCCAAAACTAACCCCAAAATTCTAATTAGGTCCAAACTTATGAGAGATATGATTATTGGTCAATTCCTTTGGCCCGATTACACATTCGTTTATTCGTAATATTTTCGTTACAAACTCACGTCAACACTCTCGTGACGTCGAGTATGATTTAATTACTTCAACAAAAAAAAATATTTAAAATCATATGCATACATCCACATCACATCGCCTCGAGGGCATAATCGTCATTTCTACACTTTCGAGGTTAAAATATATTTTAATTCGGGACAGGTTGTCACAATTCATACATTGGATTACAATTTATGTTATGAAAAATCATTAAATTCAATCTTAGTGTTTAAGTTGCTATTTTCTTAGTCAAATTAGTCAAATCGAATATTCGAATGTTACATGTGACTAATTTTACTACAATAAAACATGAGAAATGCTAAGGAGACTCTCAAAGTGGAGAGATTTTTCAGTGTGACTGGTACACGGGGTGGTACACCACGTGTCATTATACAAATTGTGGGATATGTGTACTAAAAAGTTAATAACTTAAAAAATAAAAATTATCACCACTCCTATTAAAACAAGTGGTGTACCATTTGTGTTCCCGTCACAACTAAAAATTTATCCTCAAAGTGGGAGTCTCTATGGACTCTCCGCCACCTCATCTTTTTAGCATAATGTTTTGTAATGTTGGCACGAGAATTGTGCCAAAAAGATGACATGTCAAATAGTCCCACTTTTGAGAGCCTCCTTAGCATTTCTCATAAAACATAAATTGCAATACTAAAGAAAGTTGAGGTCCCACAATAAAACTAATTGGCAACATGGAAAATAGTTCAACTACTTATAAGCACATGCAAGATCCCTTCTCCTATTAACGTGAGATTCATTCTCGACACGCTGCTTCACGTGTGGCGAATTTTCAAGCCTAAGACGTGGAAAAGATAAATTGGGTGACATGGAGTATGCGTAGCCATTGACTTCACACACAGGACAACCTGCTCTGATACCATGAAAGAAATTGAGGTTCAATCATAAAATCAATTGAAAAATGAGTAATAATCCGACTACTTATAAGTACATACAATATTTCTCCTCCCATCAACGTCAAATTTATTATCAACAAATACAGAATTTGTATATGCAGTGCAATGTAGTGTTTGATTTGAGCTTCAAGGATTTGAGGCGTCTTCCTTGTCCCATGCATATAGCATATATGCGGTGGTGGTTGCCGTCCTCCTAAAGGAAACGGCAAAGAAATGGCCTTATTAAGCGAGGTTGCATAAGAGATAGTCATTATATTACTTCTCGAATTACGAATGGAGGAAAAATAATTTTCTAATTATATGGGCCCGAAATTCATATGACATTTCCTTATTGACATAAACTTAATTAATAAAATATACAATTTATTAGGTCTGAAACAATTTATATGGAAATGGATAATCTCTGGATCCCTTCCTCCTAATCCATCAAGTTCAGGGATCCGGACCATTGAAATTTGATCCAACGGTTTAAGTTATTATAAGTTTTAGAGTGGGTCCCTATTTGTAGCCGGTTAGATCAAATTTCAATGGTTTGGATCTCCGAACTTGGTGGATTAGGAGGAAGTGATCCGGAGAGGATCCCTTTCCAATTTATATGACTAATTAGTACATATTTAAATCATTTTTACTAAATAACTTTGTATTTTAATCGTACAACTATGTGTTAAAATGAAAGTATAATAAGAAAAGTTTGAAATTTGATTTCAAAGTTCTTTTTAATTGGAATTGAAAAGCTTGTTTTCGATGTGGTCCATATGAAAATTACTCCTATCGATGGCAATTAACTGAAAACTACGCAAAGGTTCGGTAGCTATCAACAAAAAATTCTCAAAATATTCGGTTGTCGGATGCTAAATACTAGAAGTACATCACGAGTCTCAGTGTTCGGTAGCAAGCAACCAAAAATACTGCATATGTTTAAGTATCTAGCAACAAAAAAAAGACCTCAACATTTCATCTTTCATTAAAAACATGTTCAATAGTAAGCACTATTGTCGCCATAAGCCATCACGATTTATAATGCTCCCAAGATCTTTTGCGTCGTCGTTGTTCATGATGAAGATTTTATTTGTTTGGGAAGAAATTCACAATCTAATAACTAGTTACTATTTAGACAAATGACAAATTCGAGCTTATGATGACTTCTAAATTGAGACGAAAATTATCAATAAACTAATAACTAGCTTACGTTTGCTGAAATACTTTGAATGTCTTCTGTTAAATACCATTAATGAGTTGGTATATATGATTACATACCATACGAATCTTGTATTGGATAAATTATATTATCCTATATGTCAATTGTCCATCAAATAAAAACGAACATAATAGGATAAGCTAACATCTTCAAGGTATTAATATAAAAGAGAAACAAATCCAACTACTAAATTATTAATCACAAAACACAAAACGTACAAAATAAAAACAAATCACTAGGGTGTGGGCCTAATATTTAAGAAAAATAAGAGTGACTACAAGTTTCGTCTCTAAACATTCATCAAGTTTATTTTAAAAAAAAAATTCTCATGCCTATATATAAAATTAGCACAAAAGATTGAGTGATTTCTTAACAAAACAATTATTTTCTTTGGATAACCATAGGGTTTTGAAACACATAACGTGGCAACCAAGCGACTGATGAACTTTGCGACTGTTGAACTTTACTTACCGTGCTTATTTAACCTTAGCAACTGTTCTTCATATTGCGTCTGGCTATAGTGCAAATTTTGCTTCAAGAAATAAAAGAACCATGCAATCAATCACATATTGAACAAAGACATATGCCATCAACGGAAATTATAAAATTAAGAGAAAGTCTTCATAATTAATACAAGAAAAAGGAGTGTAAAAAAAAGAAAGAAAAATGGGCGTCCAAAGAAAAATAAGTTCATAAAAAGTAAAGGAAGCGAATTCTTCAAAGTTTTGTAAATTATTTTGAGTGTTGAAAAAATTATATTAGAATAAATTGAGCGCCCAGAATAATAAGGATATTTAAAAACGAAACTTGGATGTACATAGAATCAATTGAGCTGAATACTTTTTCAAAGGATCCCATAAAGATAAGAGAATCTTAATAAAACACTCGGATACTGATCCAATGGCGGGCGTCGAATCTGGAGGCCTTCGGTGCCCATTGTGATATGTCGTGGTTTGTGGGGGTGGGTTCTGTATTCCAAAGCACGTAAAAGACAAGACAAATAAAGCAAGAAACACCCCAAAAGTGGGGAGTGGGGAAGGAACATAAAAGAAAAAGTTGTATATTTAGAAACTAAATGATGTTCCTAATCTTAATATTTTAACATATAATTAGGTGAAATGAATATGTTTGTTGAAACATATTATATTCATTGTGAAACTGACATTGTTTACCTGAAAAATACAGCAATATAAAACCTGAATTTTCCCAAACAAATCAAAACAACCAGGAACCAGCAACTGCACACCCAAAATTTGAAGGTGAAAAAGGTGGAAATAAACACCATTAATTTCAATTTATTTTTGTTTCCTTCTGTTTTTTCACCATTGATCAATCAATTGTGCACCGCTGAATTGTAGGCTGGTTCATTTCGTTTGGCTGCCGGCTTGCTGGCTATGAACCTCTAGTGGGGTTTTCTGGTTGGGAAATTCAGAGCTCGATCTGCTGCAATTTCGTGGCTGTTCTCTGAACTTCTTGACTACCATCTCTAATCCCCTTAATGGAGGTAAACCCATCAAAACCCATCAAAACCCATCAATTTTTATTTGGAATTTGATTGAAGTTTTAATCTTTTTTGTTCTTAGGATTGAAATTTTGATTTTTGTTCAATTATGTTGTTGCTTTTATTTGGTTATTCAGAGTATTATTTCATCTGGGCTTCATATAATTTAATATGTATGTGTATTTGAATGAACCTATGGATGGAATCATGGAATGGATGGATTATTGATGATATGTGTGTGTGTTAAACAAAATGTTATCCTGTTTGAAGGAGTTTTTTTTTTTACATGAAGCTATGCTTTGATGTTCTAATCTAATAAAAACTACGGGAAGGGGAATTTAAACTTGGGTGCAGGGGATTTGATTATTAAGTTTGTGTTTCCTCTTGGTTTCATATATGTGCGTATGTATTTGTATATTCGAATAAGCAAATAGATGGAATGGATGGATGAATGATGATATGTGTGTATGTTAAACAAAATGTCATCCTGTGTAAAGGAGTTTTTACATGAACTATTTTTTTTTGGTATTCAAGTGATATCTAAACTACAGGAAGGGAGATTTGAGCTTGGGTAAAGGGGATTATGAACAACGATTTTCCCAAATTTATTCATGGTTTGATATGAAATTAGCTATAGGTAGTTTCTCTGCTGGTGGGCAGAATGGTAAATGGATGTTTTATTATAGTTGTGGAGGATACACCTGCCCAACTACCATGAGGATATATGTTAGAGACTGTTGAATTTTGAAATATCTAGAGGCAATTTGTAAGGTTTCTATTCTCTTATGGAATAATATCGGCACAGTACATTCCAGAGCGTTTGTTAATCTCTGATACAACTATGAAATATATAGTTTTTTTGCTTTGAGTTCTGCATGCTACATGAAACATTTCCAGATCCTTTAAAACATATATAAAATTTTACCTAAGTCAGTCAACTTCTTAAGAAAGAAGAGATTTTCTATATCCAAATTTCCAAACAGAATAATGGAGTGGTCTTGATTTTTAGGGTTGATGATACAGCGTGTGAATTTATCCATCTCAGGTTTCATAGATATAATTAAGCATTGAAAGAAATTCTACTTTTTCAGATCGATTTTATGAATGTCTAGTTGTCATAAATAGAAAAGGGGAACTAGAGGAAGGTCGGAATGGTTACAGTAGTAAACTAAGAAACAATTTTCCAAAAAATTAACAGTGGATGGGTTCCGAGATAAAGCTAAATAGGATAAGACCTAAGATATTCGTATCGCCAGAGGTTGAGGTTCCCTGAGCTGGTTTTTTGTAATTTTGGCTACTCATGAGAATTTTTTAACTTAGCCTGCAGCTGCAAATGTGTTACTTGTTTTCCTTCAAAAATATTTAGGACTGAGATCGGTTAACTCTTTGAGAATAGATGCTCATTCCGTTTGGGATTTAATTATGCTACTTTTCACAAACCATGCACTCTACTGATCATTGTTGAAATTGGTTTTGTGTGTTAAAAGATTCCAGATAAAATGGAGGCAGAGGCTGAAAGTCATATGATATCAGCTGCTGCATTTGTGGAAGGGGGAATACAAGAGGCTTATGGCGAGGCCTGCAGCATATGCCTTGAGGAGTTTTGTGATGGTGATCCTTCAGTGGTAATATATCAAGAAGCGTATCCTTCTTTTTGTTTTCTCCTCACACATGAGAATCTTATGTCTTCATGCGTTGATCTTATATAGATGTACCGTTAATTCCATTCTGTGTCTTGCTTTGCAGGTTACTTGTTGCAAGCATGAGTTTCACCTCCACTGCATCCTTGAGTGGTATAAAGCATTTTAGTTTCAATTATGGCTCTTATTAAAATCAATTATCTTACTTTTTATTAATTAATTTGTATTGATCTTTCATTTACACTTATTTTAACTTTTCAGCGAGTCTAGTTTTGACCTCCATGTGAGGCCAGTTTTTTGCACCAAGCAGTACAAATTTTTTTAGGACACTGCACCACCATCTTTACTTAGCGAAGATTAAGATTAGAAATATGGAAGGAGAAGGAGATGCGACACTGGGAATAATGGGGGTGGAAGGGTTGATTAATATTCTTTAAATTGTGGTTGGGGTGAAGATATATGAATTGGCTGTGGCGATAGCTCCGTTCTCTATGGGTTCCGGTGACTTGGCTGATATGTTTTCCTTCAATGCATAGTTCCATTTCCCAGCAAATGTAAATTTAAAGTTTAAACTATGACTTCATGAAGATGTTAATATTTTGGATTTTGTCTGCTAATGAGATATCCACTTAGTTTCTTACTTTGCTTTAAGACAATGTTTGGGTTTCAAGTTTTATCTTGCACGAAGATTCTCCATGCACATACAGACGCGTTTACAAGGCATACTTAGATCATCAATAACTATTGATTGGGAATGAATTACCAGCGTATAATGTTGTTGGGGGAAGGTAGACACTACACTCTCAGAGTCTAACAATATTATACATTCATATAGGTGCCAACGAAGCTCTCAATGTCCCATGTGTTGGCAACCCATTAGCTTGAAGGATCCTTGCAGGTTCGTTTTTTGTCATTTTTTATTTTGACATGTTATATTTATTGACCTGGAGTTAACTGAAATGCATACGTATATTGGCAGCCAAGAATTACTGGAGGGAGTAGAAAGGGAGAGAAGAATTAGAGAGACCGCAAGAAATGCACCCATATTTCATCATCCCACCCTTGGCGATTTTCAATTTCAGCATGTCCGTCATCTTCTTTCTTTGGTTTTTGTTGTTGGAATAACGTTTGATACGTAGGATTGACTTGGCTTGGACTAATTATAGGGATTGGATTGGATTGGTTTGGCTTGCCTTGGGTTGGGTTGGTTCTGTTTAGGCCCCTCATGTTAAATGATCTAAAATAAACCCACATAGAGGAGGTATAATCCCAACTTATCCAGTTCTTAATTAACCCCATGTTTGGTCCAAGTTAGATTTTGTGTTAAATAGCCCAATCCAGTCCTAGTCTGGTCAATCAAACGCCCCCTAAAAGTATAAATTTTAAGATTGTTTCATCATGGTTTTCAATGTGTTGATGCAATTTATTGACAAAAAAAATGTGTTTATGCAATGGAATGCAGTTACCTGTGGGTACTACCAATGCTGAACTTGAAGAGCGCATAATTCAGCACTTGGCTGCTGCTGCTTCTATGGGAAGGGCCCACCACCATGGTAGAAGGGAAGGCCATAGGAGCCGATTATCTGCTCGTGGTCATCCACACATCTCAGTACCTTCTACTCATTCTAGGTCATCTCCTCTTGGTCCTGTTCATGCCCCTGGAGGAGACACTGAACCAGCTGAAATAACTGTAGCAAGTCCATCTACCCCACTTACATCAGATGGAGACGAAACATCACGAATGAGCGCACAATATCCTTCTGTTCATACGGATGGAAATTCTTCCTCGCCATCTGGGTCTTCACGCATGCATAGAAATCGTCAAGGAAATTCCTCTAGCAATTTGTAATAATCATTTTCTATTGTTGCATTTATGTTATTGTCTAGATCAGTATACTGTATGCACTTCTATGCAAGGCATTTGTATGACTATTTAGTATCTTTTTGTAGGAGCTCTACTAGCCATGCCTCCTCTTTGAATCAGGACAGAGCAGGACCATCAGAACTTCACTCTCTTTCAGAGTCTCTGAAATCTAAGTTTAATTCTATGTCAATGAGGTATGATATAAAGTAACCACTCTTCCATTTTGGACATCACCTTAGTAGTTTAATGCTTTTGTGTGTATACAGTGGGTTTGCTCTTTTACCATCCTCATTTGTTTGTTGCAAGTGTACCTAGGTACAAGGAATCGTTTTCGAGGAATACACGAGGATTGAAGGAGAGGCTGTTCTCTCGTAGCACTTCTATGTCGGAACTTAGTTCTGAAGTCCGTAGAGAGGTTAATGCTGGAATTGCCACCGTATCTCGAATGATGGAGCGCCTTGAGACAAGAGATAATAGTCCAGACAACCAGTCTTCTGGAGTGAATCAGACTGCGGATGGTTCTGCTGCAGAGCAGGGCAACCAGAACCGTGCAGAGATTCATGGAGAAAACCCTTTGAGTGACAACAATAGGCCTGGTACTACATGTGCCGCGGGTTCTGCTTCACATTGATCTGCTATTCATTGTTTAAGCAATGCATCTATCCTCAGCATTTCATAATTAAGGTGAGTAATAATGTTGGTTTGAATTTTATTATTCTGGTATCGAGGTTTCATCACCAATGCCACCTTATTTACGTCTTGTTTCCATCACCATTGGTGCTTATTAGGCACACCGTATGTAGCGAGAATATACAATTTTGATTTGAATTCTGCGCTTGCATGCAATATTTGTTTGTGTGTGCAGTGCCGCAAGCCCATCACCTGACCAGTGCAAAAGGGATTTTGGAACCCATAATCAATTTCACCAAAAACTCTTTCAGTCCTTTTAGAAGCACTTCCAAACGAGTCCTTACTCTTAATCACGTGTTCATGCCTGATTTAACCGTATGCCGTCTAGCTGGCTGCTTTGTCAATTAGGTTGACAGTTATTTCCGCTGCCATTTGTTCAACCATGTCTTTTTTTCCTTTTCGCGTGAGTGAGAAATGAAGAAATCTGTGATCAAACGAAAGACCTTAATTCAACTAATTCGCTTGAAGTTTTTCAAAGTTTCAAATCTGCTTGCTTAATGTATATATGTACACCTATCATATTGATCCAAGTTATCTGAGTTTCGTGTGCCTTTAAGGTTGTTACCCTTTTCTCCAGACATGGGATGCTGAGGACGAGATGCTCTTGCACTTCAGGCCGGAGTTAAGGAATTTGGGTATTTGGAAACTATCTCGATTGTGGTCTGAATTCGAATAAAGAAGAGAAGGTCTCGACAGAAGAGCATCGATCTGGACAGATATATTATAAACGGGTATTATCTGTGTATATATTTTTATATATTACCCAACATATAGTGCTTTAGAGGTCGCACTTGGTGCGATGGCAAGTGCCTTCGCCCATGAGCGGTAGGTCTCGGGTTCGAGACTTGGGAGCAGCCTCTCCATAAATGGGGGTAAGGCTAGCCGACATTCACCTCTCCCAGACCCTGCGTAAAGCGGGAGCCTTGTGCACTGGGTACGACCCAACATATAGTGCTTTAATTATGTCTGGATCGTCTATATTGGCACTGAATTAGTTTGGATGCTAAGGAGGAATGTTATGGAAGCCTTTCCGATATGCCGTTACACATTATTCGTTTGAATCGAGCACTGAAATTTTCGTTAACACCCTTATGAGGACCAGTTCTTTTTTCTTTAAACATTTTAGGATGGAAATTAGTGGAAAGTAAAGTCTACCCACCCTTTAGTTAAGGTGCCAAAATGCTTTCTAGGTTGATTTGTCTTTCCTTCTGTTATTTTGTCTAATACAGGGACAACTTGAGGAGCGGGATGTCGTTTTGAGGGATGTGAGATAGCTAGCTGGATTTCCGGCTTTGCATGCTGATGGACTTGCCGTCTCACATCCCACAAAATTGGATTCGCTCCTCAAGACATTTGTTATAATAGAAATGTATATGTATATATTTAAATTTCACCATTACCATTTTCTTACTAACGTCTCATGTTTGACCCTTTCACATATGAGCTACAACATAGCCCATATTTAAATAATGCTTCTATTCTTCTTTCTTTCTTTCTTTCATTTAGTCTCGTTGTAAAATCGTCACTTAACTTCTTGAAACTCGCATTCCGTTTCACTTCGTGAAAGGAGTTTAAACTCGCATTCTGTTTCACTTTTCCATGTATAAAATGTCTGTCCAGATGGATGCTCTTCCGTCGGCGTGGTTGTTGATTTCCTTCTGTGTGTTTGTTTTTAAATTTTAATTGGCCAGACATGTTGCACGTTTTTTATTGAATGTGTGGGTTCCATCAGCATGAGTGAGGTGGGGGAGGGTTGCGGGTGCGAAATTGTTGACGGTCTCCCTGCATGTAACCCGACTGTATGGATATTAGATGAGTGGACGAAAACAAGGCAAAGTGAGACGGATTGTGAGTTTCAGGAGGTTAAGTGGCGATTTTTTATGTTTACGAGACTATACGGAGACTCGAGATTAGTCTCAGGAGGCAAATTGTTCATGCGTACATTTGGATCAACTATCTGAGTGTCAAATCTCTAGTCTTCATTGTGACTCCTAGAGCATCGCACTTAGAGCGTTTGATGTTTAAGTTTTCAGAGAATGTTTCGGGATTTTTTTTTTTAAACAACGATATATTTACACCAAGTATAATTTAGTCTAAGTAGTCATACATTTTTACGGATAGTCATCTCCTTTTGTAAAGGATGGTTTAGACAGACATTTTGTACTACATTGATGTATCATCACATATGGCAAATGATTTATACATGTGATGGTGCACTAATACGGTATAATTACGTGGTCTTCTTTATTTTAAACCAATTTTGTGAGCAAGAAATGTATTTTCATTCTGCACTAAAAGGTCAAACAATATGATCTAGCAAAACAAAAACAAAAACATAATAAATACACCTTATTTAATACAATTTTGAAATCATTATTGGTCTACATGTTGTTCGCCACAAATATTGTTAGCATTAAAGACATAATGGTCATGAAAAACTTTTTTAATAGAAGTAATATTTCTACTCCAAACTGCATATTAAGCGAATGAATAGAGTTCGAATTCAAGATACAGTTGAACGAAGAGATATATCTTATCCATCAATTTTCTTCAATAGTCCGAACTATTGAATAGTAAATGAACAATCATGAATGAATTGAGAAAATATTATTTTTACTTATTTGTTAATCTAATAATATAACGCTGAATTACCGAGTAGTCCAGACTATTAAATACTTATCTCTTATCCACCAGAGAAATCCAACGATTGCAAGTTTAGACAAAAACTTATTCCCAAAGTAAGGAGGGGTGCATAACCCTAATGGAAACTCCACTTCAATCTTCTTTTTCCTAAATCATTAGGCCCTAAAATTAAAAAGAACTAAAAAGAAAAAAGACTATCTCCAAGTTAGGGGGACACTCAACCTCAAAGTTATAGTATATGAAATAAGTGCAGGAAACCCATCAAAAGTTTGTATATCATTTTCCAACTATGCGTTACACAACAATTGGTGCATAGAAAAAGATACATTCTAGAAAAAGTTAGAAAAAGTCGGGTACAAATTAAGCAAAATAGTTGGTGTGGCATGTGTGCTCTTCAAAAATTAAAGGTTTTTATTTGGTAACTTCCATGCTTAAAAAGGCTAAAATGTTGTTTTTAACTCGATTGTCTCTTACAATTTGCAAAACAGTAGTGCTTTCCGCATATTTATTTTTAGTTATCACATACTTTTTTAATTTTCAACTGTCGAATCGAGTAAGTTGAAAATATCAATGGCAAAAATTATCTAAACAACACTATCATTTGCAAAAATCATTCGTATTTTTGTGTGTATTTAACTCCTGATTAGTACTTTGTACCAACTAATTTCTTAATAATATCTTGTATAAAATAAGTCTTTACATAGTTAATACATACGACGTTTTTGTCAATCATTCTCTTTAAATTGATGATGACATGAAAAATTACTTTTTGTTACACTGGGAAGAAACAAAGAACAATGATTGTCTTCCCTCCCACTTCCGATGCTCTCCTGTTTATGTGGTCACGGTTAAGTTACGTTAATATTTTATATTACTATTCATTTTTGTCTTATTATCTCTAAAAAACAATATAAAATATTAACGTGACTTAATTGTGACCACACAAAACAAGATGGCACGAAAAGACATCGGAAGTGGAAGGGCAAACAATCCTTGTCCAGAAACAAATCCAAACTTATTGTAGCTTTAATTTATTATCTCATGCTCACACATCGCTTCAGCTAACCCTAAAAATCTGATTATGTGTTATCGAACTACATTACATATGTTTGTAGTAGGCTTTAGAGCTTCTTTTCTATGGAATATTACTAATAGGGGCTTAAGAATTTTTTTTATTAGTACAAGCAATATTTTACTAAATTTAACTTTAACTAAGAAAATTTTAAATTACCTATAACTTGGTTTGGTTGTAAAAAAAAAAAATTTGGGAAAAATTAAAGCATTATTAGGGGACTAAATGACAAATTATAAAAGTTCACAAGAGATTATCATCACAAACAAATAATTAAAATTTCATATTAGTTTTTTCATACTTTAGTTTTATAATTTTGATTTTTTTTATTGAACTAACAATAGTATCAACGATGGGAGAATGAGTGAGCTAAGCTTTACAATGAATCTATCATAATAATGTGATTTAAATGCGTATTTGATAAGAATTGAATCTAAAATCTTTTACTTACAAGTAAAAAAAAAAAATTGTTAAATCGTAGTATTAAGTAATTTATAATTTTGATTTAGCACACCGAGACATTGTGAAATCCTCGGGTGTATGTATTTGTAACATTTTGTTTATGTGGACAATGGAATTTTATGGACAGATGAGGCTGACAAGCAATCTGCCAGTGGAGAAAACGTCACCGTCCTGGACTTTAATAATAAACGAGACGAGAGAAAGAAAAGTGTGACACGCGCGCTTTTCGAGAGTGACGTGGAGGGTGTTTTTGTTGCTTAGCGTACAACTTTTGGGCCTTCTTCGTAATTTTCTTCTTTGTAAAATCGGAGGACACCGACGGCTTGCCGTGAAGCCGTTTTAGCTGCCCACAAGCTTAAGCTTCGGCTTCGGCTTCGGCTTCTCCCTTCTCACCTGCTCACATAAACTCTGGAAGATTATAAAATAATAAAAAACTAAGGAAAATTTTATTTAAATCTATCTAACTTATTTCTACACTCAACTTATTCTTTGCACTCATTTGATTTTTAACAAAACTATTAATATATTTTTAAACCCAAATTTAAAACCTAATATACCCCTATAAAGCCAAATCAGAGGCCGTTGGTTCTTGGAATACCATTGATGGCTGCTCACTTATTTTTCATTTCTCAGGTCTTCACGTAGGGAAATTTTCACGCATGGTACTGGAAATGCAACGTTTAATTCCTTTGTCAGCTCTCTAGGTGTGCAAAACCCCTACGCTCTGTCCTCTGTGTTCTTCAAAACCGAGTGCCATTTTTTCTTAGTGTCCTCATTTTTCTTGAATTCCCATAGCTTGCATTTTTTCAAGTCTGCAAATTTGCAAGATAAAAATCAATGGCTCTTAAGGCCGTTCATGTTTCTGATGTTACAAACCTCGATCAAGTCACAGAAAATGTTGCCGCATTGGCTGTACATTCTCCGTGGTTGGCTCAAGGTCTCGGCATTTGCCATCAAATTAATTACTTGGAATTCAAGAAACAATAAACCAAGAGGAATCTGACTTTTGGAATTGGGGGTTTTTTTTTCTAATTTTTTTTTTGGTTTGTGTGAATAGGTGTGAAAGATGAGGGTGAAGAAACGAAATGGGGATACAAATGGCCAAAGTTCATGCTGATGGGACACAGAGGCAGCATGATGAACTTGTTGTGTGGTAGTGGATTAAGAGTAAGAAAGGCGATATCTGCAAGTTTTTTTAGTTTTTTGGGGTGCAGACTTTGTATTAGGACTTTTAGGCAATACTATTTGCACCAATAGATACATTGATACCATGATTTTGGGGTGTAGTTAGACTACACCGACAAAGAAGAAAAAAAAATATAAAAACAGAAGAAGCAAAAAGAATCAAAGGTCTTAGCAATATCTGCAAGTCTTTTTGGTTTTTTGGGATGCAAATGGATAGTGGGAGACCAATTGTAGTGTAATATCCCACATCACCCAGGGGAGTGGATCCTGTAAGTCTTATATGTATATTCCCATCTTTACCTAGCACAAGACCTTTTGGGAGCTCACTGGCTTTAGGTTCCATCGGAACTTCGAAGTTAAGCGAGTTCGAGCGAGAGCATTCCCAGGATGGGTGATCCATTGGAAAGTTCTCGTGTGAGTTCCTAGAAACAAAACTGTGAGGGCGTGGTCGGTGCCCAAAGCGAAAAACATCGTGCTACGGCGGAGTTGAGCCGGGGATGTGGTGGGGGCCCGGGTCGATATGTGACAATTTGATATTAGAACCAATCTCTGCCCGGAAGTGTGCCGACGAGGACGTCGGGTCCCTAAGGGGGGTGGATTGTAACATCCCACATCGTCTAGATGAGTGGATCATGTAAGCCTTATATGTATATTCCCATCTCTACCTAGCACGAAGCTTTTTGGGAGCTCACTGGCTTTAGGTTCCATCGAAACTTAAAAGTTAAGCGAGTTCGGGCGATAGCATTCCCAGGATGGGTGACCCACTGGGAAGTTCTCGTGTGAGTTTCCAGAAACAAAACCGTGAGGACGTGGTCGGGGCCCAAAGCGGACAATATCGTGCTACTCAGAGTCGAGCCCGAATGTGGTGGGGGCTCGGGCCTGATTGAAAAAAAAAATTAAAACAAAAATACTCATCTTCTAAACTCTACAAAATTGAAATCAAATGAACAAAAATTCATAAATCGAGTCATACCTTAGTTGGAGGATTCAAAACTTCAAAATCACCATCCATCAATAGAAAAACTTATTTTTCTCTATTAGGGG